TGGCTCTGCCATTTACTATGTAAGACTATTTGTGAGACTTTGGGCAAGTTACTTAACCTCTCTAAGCCTCAGTTTTATCTATTAAATGAATTTAGTGAAAGTACATACTATATATGTCATAGTACCTACTATTTTTAAAATTGCTATAGAAAGAAAATATTGTCACTCAAATCTTAGTGACTATATTATTATTTTAATTTATGATTATTAAAGTTAAGGACAAGGTACTTCTTTTACTATTTTGTTGTTGTTAATCTTCCCAAGTATATTTTTTTCATTGATTTTTATAGTGAGTGGAAGGGAAGTAGAGAGAGGAAAGAGAGGGAGAGAGAGCAAAACCTCAAGGAGAAAGACAACAAATCAATTGGTTACCTCCCGCACGAACCCCAACTGGGGCCAGGGATTGAACCTGCAACCGAGGTACTTGCATGGGTCAGCGCTCTAACCACTGAGGATATCGACCAGGGCAAGACAAGATACTTCTTTTTTTCTTGAAACTTGGCTCGGTCTTTTTTTTTTTTTTTTTTTTTTTTTTTTTAAGGCATATGCTGGGCATCTGTTTTGTTGTTGTTGTTGTTTTATTATTGATTTCAGAGAGGAAGGGAGAGGGAGCAAGAGATTGAAGCATCAGTGATGATAGAGAACCATTGATCTTCTGCCTCTTGCACATCCTCCACTGGGAATTGAGCCTGCAAACTGGTTATGTACTTGACTGGGAATCTCACCGTGATCCCTGGTTCATGGGTCTATGCTCAACCACTGAGCCACACCAGCCGGGCCTAGCTCAGTCTTTTATAAATAGCTTAGATTACAAAAGTTATGCACACACTATTGCCAAAACTGGTTTGGCTCAGTGGATAGAGTGTTGGCCTGCGGACTGAGAGGTCCCAGGTTCGATTCCGGTCAAGGGCATGTACCTGGGTTGCGGGCACATCCCCAGTGGGAGATGTGCAGGAGGCAGCTGATCGATGTTTCTAACTCTCTATCTCTCTCTCTTCCTCTCTGTAAAAAATCAATAAAATATATTTTTTAAAAAAAGTTATGCATGCACTATGGATTTTGCTGGTGCTTATAATGAAAGGCAGAAAAACTATGCAAGCCCTAGACAGTTGCTCAGTGGTTAGAGCGTCGGCCTGAGGACTAAAGGATCATGGGTCCAATTCCAGTCAAGGGCTCAAACCTCAGCTGCAAGCTCAGTCCCTGGGAGGCAATCAATCGATGTGTCACTCTCACATCAATGTTTCTGTCTCTCTCTGTCTCTCCCCTCTCCCTTCCATTCTCTAAAAAAATCAATGAGGAAAAAACAGTGAAGGATTAACAACAACAACAAAACACTATGTAAGCAATATTCTGTTCTAGCCCTGGCCGGGTAGGTCAGCTGATTAGATCATTGTCCCGATACTCTAATCTAAGGTTGTGGGTTCAATCGCCAGTCAGGCAGGGCACATATAATAATCAACCAATGATAACTTATATGTTGGATTCTTCAATCCTTCATAGCCACCAACCTTTTTCTTAGCTGCTTTCTTACTCACCAGAAAGCAGGTGCAGCAAGAAGGAGAAAATGAACATGTTTCTCAAGCTGAAAGAGCTCTGAATAAATAGTTTGAAAGGATTTTAAGTTAGGTGAGTCAAGGAACCAGTCACCTCTCTAAGAGAGAGATGTTCTGGACCTTTTCCAAGCCTCCAGGAGACTGATGCTGCCTGCCCTGTCAGCTTATAAATTAGAATAGAAGCTGGCCGTTCTCCGAGAACTGTGTAAAGACTGAGCTGCTGTTAACATCCAGTACTGTTCAGTGTAAGAGTCTCATACGTATTCCCGTCAGGACCCATACCTGCCATTTTATTTATCCCATTTTAACAGATATTTTCTCATTTTCCACCTTCTCTGCAAACCCAAGTCACCAGTAATTTAAAGCTCAGCCCTAGGATTACTGAACATCTAAACTCAGGTGGGCTCTCTGGATTTCTCGTTCCCCTGCCCCCCCAAACTTGGCACATCTAGACATAGAATCTATCCTCTTATATACCTCGAGAGACCCTTACATGCCCACCCTCACCATGGGCCAGGAGAGTTTCTTTGGTAATCAACCTAAGGTCAAGTTAAAAGAGTTCAAACAAACTTTTGAACAAAGCTGTGTGGTGCTCCTGAGCTGGATTTTTTAAAACCCCAAGGATTCATATTCCTGCTTTCTGTAGGCATTGTGTCTCTGGGTGTCTCAAAACCCACAGACTCAAAAGGAAAAGCAATCCAGATACCTACAGAAACATAGGAATTTTTTAATACCTCTACTGTCCACCCCAGCCAAGAAGTTGCCTTTGTTCCTGTGATCACAGGAGCCATCTCTTCGGTCAAAAGCAGGGCAGCTATCCATCTTTGCTTGTTCAATTTGTTTAACCAGCCCTAGCTTTGTAAACGACAAATATTTTTTCAGCATAGAAATTTACTAGTTTGTTTTTACTCGTCTTATGAATATTGAGGCCCTACTTATTTTATTTTATTTATTTATTTATTTATTTATTTTACTTATTTTATTTTTTAACAATCTCATTTCTGTTAACTTCTGGTTTACAGTACTTTTGTTTCTATGTATGAAGGTTTAAAAATAATTTATTCTTTTTTATAAATTATAAGAACAACAAATTTCACCATTGAGTAAAAGTAAAAACTGGGATTCTGGTTGTTGTTGTTTTTTTTTTTTCACCTAATCACATAAAGATTTTTATTTGCTCATCATAAAATCTAGTTGTGTAATTAGGATTTTTGTTTAAATTAGTCCAAAGTGGCATTTACGAACTTAGTTGTAGGCTGCTGCACTGATAAACAAAAGTGTAAAGTTGGGCCTGGTTTTATTTCATTGTTTTTCCAATATCTAATGCTCATGGATTAAATTCTGGAAATGTTCCAACTATAAGGAAGGAATCTGTTGGATTCCACTACATGTATGCTCCTTGGGTTGGATGCAGAAGGGATGAAACACATTTTGCCGGACCCATGTAGACAGATACCTACCACAAGATACCTCCAATTCCACCAGAACCTTTCACAAATTGGGATCCTTCTTGTGACTTACCTGTAACACTTTTCAGTGTAACTCTAAATTTTTTTGTTATCCTTACCTGAGGATATGTCTTTTATTGGGTTTTTTTTTTTTTTTTTTTTTTTTTTTTTTTTAGAGACAGGGAGAGAGAGAGAAACATCGATTGGCTGTCTCCTGCATTCACCCCAACCGGGGATTGAACCCGCAACCTGGAAATGTGCCCTGACTAGGAATTGAACCCATGACCCTTCGGTGCACAGGACAGTGCTCAACCAACTGAGCCACACCAGCCAGGCTCCACATTTTTTATAGTTGTTAGCAAACCATTCCAGCAAGGGCATACTCTAAATTAGTTCATGTTTTTTATCCTCTTTGTGAAATGAGATTTATCCTTCTCTAGTTCTCGTTTGAGGATTTAAAAAAAATTATAAAGTCAGCTGATCCAGCTAAAATGAGACCAGCTGCTGCCTTAGCTAGTTTCCGAACACAATTATGTATAACTGACCTCCTCTACCATGCTTCTTAGGGAAGTCCATAGTGAATATATGCAGGACTTCTCTTTTGTTTCCTTGGAGTGTGCCAGAAAGTACGCCACTATAGTCTATTACAATGAAGCCAAACTTGCTATCATCTGAAAGTAGTGCTATAAGAGCCTCTGTATAGACTTCGTCATACAAATGTATGAATTGGTTTGAAATATTCAGTCAGTGTTGACTTCCTTTTCCTTTACTTCTGTTATAATTATACCACAGTAAACCAGGCCATTTGGAGGTACTTTGTTTTAAAGTTTGAATCTTTGTTATACAGATGTAATGGCTCCCAGGACTGAAAGATGGCTTACTCATGACTTTAGATCAGTGATGGCGAACCTTTTGAGCTCGGCGTGTCAACATTTTGAAAAACCCTAACTTAACTCTGGTGCCGTGTCACATACAGAAATTTTTTGATATTTGCAACCATAGTAAAACAAAGACTTATATTTTTGATATTTATTTTATATGTTTAAATGCCCTTTAACAAAGAAAAATCAACCAAAAAAATGAGTTCGCGTGTCAGAGGTGACATAGGTTATAGGTTCGCCATCACTGCTTTAGATGAAATTCTAAACTCATCTGCTAACTTTTTTTTTTTTAATTGAGGGAGGGAGAGGGGAGGAGGGGGAAGAGAAAGAGAGAGACACAGACATCATTTACCTCCCATATGCACCAAGACTAAGGATCCAACCCAAAACTTGGGTAAGTGCTCTGACCTAGAATCGAAATCCCCTACCTCTTGGTGCACAGGGATGCTCTACCCAATTGAGCCACACTAGCCAGAACCAACAGACTGCTAACATTTTGCCGTTCCTGAAATCTGGTCTTTATAGGCAGGATCAATGGTAGCATGCTTGCGCCATTGCCATGAGCGGCCCCCAAGTTGTTTTGTTTTTTATTTTTTTAATGAGTTTTATTGATTTCTATAGAGAGAGGGAAGGAGAGAGAGAGAGAGAGAGAGAGAGAGAGAGAGAGAGAGAGAGAGAGAGAGAGAGAGAGAGAGAGAAACATCAGTGTGAGAGAAAAACATAGATCATTACCTCCCACATGCACCCCGACTCGGGATCATACCCACAACCTGGTTATATGTGCTGACCAGGAATGGAACTGGACACTTACCCAACTGAGCCACACTGGTCAGGGCTGCCTTGAAGTTCATAATTCGTTTCGTGATCTTCCGATCTCCCTGTTCCTGTCAGCTGGGGTCATCCACCATCTTTGAGGCCTTAAATTTTTAGTCATTTTAGAGACAAAATGCTGTATACTAGCTTATTCAGTTTCTTATCTATTTTTTTCTGTTTGTGTGATCCTTAGTTCTGATCATAAGGTTGGCTGGCATATTGTGATCCACAAGTTACAGTTTTATTCCCATTTACCTTATGAATGGAGGCTAGCTGTTTCAACCTTTTTCTTTGTCCCTGAACAGTCTGAAGATGACGAGAAGCTGAAAAAGAGGAAGGAGCGATTTGGAATTGTCACAAGTTCAGCTGGAACAGGAACCACAGAGGATACAGAGGTAAAATATACGTAACTGCTTCATAGAGCCCTTGAAGGGAAATGAGGATGAACAAACTGAGTGGAGAAACACTATTATTTCCCTGGCCTACTTCTTAAGTGCTCAGATGAGAAGATCTTTTGTCCTTTGCTTGATAGCTGTTTCAAAATATGGTACTTTCCCCCCTGGCACCCCCTCAGTTTATTTTACTCATTAGATTCCACATATATCATGTGATGCTGTCTTTCTCTGACTGTTTTATTTTACTTACTATAATAATCTCCAGGTTGCCGAAACCGGTTTGGCTCAGTGGATAGAGCGTCAGCCTGCGGACTGAGAGGTCCCGGGTTCGATTCCGGTCAGGGGCATGTACCTGGGTTGCAGGCACATCCCCGGTGGGGGATACGCAGGAGGCAGCTGATCGATGTTTCTCTCTCATCGATGTTTCTAACTCTCTCTATCTCTCTCCCTTCCTCTCTGTGAAAAATCAATAAAATATATTTAAAAAAAATAATAATAATAATCTCCAGGTTATGGTACTTTTCTTAACCTCTGTTTCGTCATCTGGGATGTAGAGATAGTAATACCTACCTTGAAGTGGTATTTTTTTTTAATATATTTTATTGTTTTTTTACAGAGAGGAAGGGAGAAAGATAGAGAGTTAGAAACATCGATGAGAGAGAAACATCGATCAGCTGCCTCCTGCACACTCCCCACTGGGTATGTGCCCGCAACCCAGGTACATGCCCCTGACCGGAATTGAACCTGGGACCCTCCAGTCCGCAGGCCAACGCTCTATCCACTGAGCCAAACCAGATAGGGCTTGAAGTGGTATTTTAAGCATGAAATGTTTCTATGTAAAAATAGATGATTCTGTATAGAATGCTTGACATAGCACCTGTCATATTGAGAATATTCAGTAAGCAATGTCTGATAATCAGCCAAGCATATTTCTTTCATCATTTAATGAAGCCCATATCCAGCCCAGACACAAGTATAGTTGTGCCTAACTCCCCTCTGGAATAGGACAATAGACTCAAATGAGGTTTCTTTTTCTTATCGCTTTATTTGCAAATAGTTTCTCAAAATGAAAGAGTGGCTTTTTTATTTTGAACATAGTGACTTATGTTCAAAAAAAAAGACTTAAGTTCATCCACATTCCAGCTTCCCCTAGAATAATAACTCCCATTCACTGACCCTTAAGCTTTGGAAGACTGCTCAGAACATGGACAGACAATATTGATTTGCTGATTTGAGAGTATCTGTAATGGAGACCAAGTATCACCTGAGGTGTACATAAGGAACAATTGAAATAATAAATGTTTTGGACTATAGAAATTATTTGGGTGGAAAGGAGTTTAGAATGTTCTTTCTCCCATTTAATCCAAGTTTACTTCTTTCCATCTACCTCTGGAGATATCCTCTGAATATTTATTAACTTATATACTGAAAATCTTATGAATTTTTTTTTTTATGAATAATAAAAATAAACCGCCTGGCTGGTGTTGCTCATTGGTTGAGCATCAACTCATACATGAACCAAGAAGTCACAGTTCAATTCTTGATCGGGAACGTGCCTAGGTTGCCAGCTCAGTCCAGTAGAGGGTGTGCAGGAGGCAGCCAATCAATGATTCTCTCTCATCCATGTTTCTCTCTCTCTCTAAAAAATCAATTAAAAAACATTTAAAATAATAATAATAAACCCTGAAAATTTTGGAATTTGATCAGTTTACATCTTCGCTAGGAAAAAACTAGAGGGATTTGTGTTTTTTATGCTAATTCAGAATAAATCATTACCTATTGTAAGTATCTGCTTACTTACTGATTTTCCAGGATGAACTAGAAGTAAACCATAAATCTAGGCTTGTTTTAAATCTACTTTAAATTACTCCCTTTTCCCAAGGAAACTGTGTTATGCTCACTCAGCTGGTACATCTGGCCTCTCCAACATAAGGCGGATGAGGATTTTGTTGGGTGGCAAGGAATATTGGCGTTTGTTGGGAGAGTCATTGTATGTAAGGAAGAAGTAACTTCTGAGGCTCATGGAGTTTACATGAGCCAGATGACTTTTTTTTATTCCAAAGAATTGTGTCAATAATCCAGGTGGAGTGGTCTGGGCCTGTATACACTTAGCTTTTCTTTTTAATCTAAATTAAACCTCCTGTGTGAATGAAATGAAAAAGCAGTCTCCCCTTTGCTGGGGGCAGTGGTTGGAATGAGGTTGGATTTGGTGCTGTTTTGTGTCATCCTTTCCTCCGCCCCTCCCCATTTTGTGCCTTCTCTCCAATGTGTCCTCCCTTAAGAGATCATATTGGGGACTCACCTCTCCCCGTTTATTACGTTGGTATTGAAGATTTTATGCTCTTTGTATTTAGAGGCCTAGGAATAACTGCTTTGGGGGCCTGACTGTCCAAAAGGGCATTCCCCTCATTTCCACCAAATAGCATTGGTCAACCCTTTGTCCTCTGAAATCTCCCATCTCCCCAGCCTGTTAAGAGTCCACTATTTCGAGACTAACTTGCTACAAGGCTGAATGGTCCTCTCTCCTTAAGGCATCTTTCCATTTTCTACTACTACTTTTCTCCTCTTTTCCTCCTGACCCATCTCTTTATAATCTTCTCCCCTCTCACCCTGCTTTTTCACCAAACCTCCCCAGCTCTAACTGGATAACAAGAGAAATTCAGAAATGAAATCTTTGGCTGCCAAGCTTAAGCCTGGGCCTTCCCTCCTTCTTCAACCATGTGACAATCCATGTGAATTTGGATTAAAGCAGCCAGGAACCGAGGCCACTGTTGTCTTACAATCTAATTTTTCTCTTCTTGCTTTTTTCTTATAGGCAAAGAAGAGGAAAAGAGCAGAACGCTTTGGGATTGCCTGATGAGAAACTCCTAATGCTTTCTGTTCTTCAGTGGTTTCCATCTCTGACTCCTTGGCCACATACATACCTAAATACACAGTCATGTGCCTAGGTGCTGCCTCGCAATGAGCGAGCATGTACCCCAGGTACATCCGTGAACTAAGTAGCAATTTGACTTACTGCTGTTCCAACTTCAAGATTGTTGTTGTTGTGTTGTGTTTTTTAATTATTATTTTGCTTGTTAATAAAAATCATTAGAAAAGAGAACAGTGTGTTTTATTAGGTACTCCTTTGAGTTCTTAGAGCCAGATTCAATCAGATATGGGGATCTTCAGGGACATTTATAGAGAATTAGCCATAGTCTTTTACCCATTAGAAAAGAAGTTAAGGAAAAGGATTGAATCCATCAATATATTTTTCTTATTGATTTCAGAGAGGAAGGGAGCGGAGAGAGAGAGAGGAACATCAATGATAAGAGAATCATTGATTAGCTGACCCCTACACCTCCCTACTGGGGACTGAGCCTGCAACCAGGGCATGTGTCCTGACTGGGAATTGAACAATGATCTCCTGGTTCATAAGTCAACACTTAACCACTGAGCCATACCGGCTGGGTTGAGTCCATCCCTTTAAGTCTATTTATATTCTCTCATGTTCACAGGCATCCTTTTACCTCTTTATCCTTCATGAAGAGGCCAAGTTTTACCCTGAGTCTTTGCTTCTCCAGGTTCATGTGACCCATTGGTATGAAATAGGGAGAATACCGTGGGTTTTAAGAGGTGCAGAGAATGAAATACAAGGGCTAATGATTGGTAGTCTCTTATAGAATGGAGTCCAGAAGGATCTTATTTTCAAAAGTGATCTGATGTGATACTGTCTGGTTTCAACCAAAGCTAACATATGGGACCCTGTTGGTAGGCAGTTCAGGAAAGGAGATGGGCTGGGTACCCCTCAGAGCTAGAAGGAAGTGTAGGGAATCAAAGCATGACAGGATGTCAGAGGTGTTAAGCATTATTGCCTAGATCAGTGGTTGACAAACTGCGGCTCGAGAGCCACATGTGGCTCTGGCCCCTTGAGTGTGGCCACGAAGTTTCAGTCGCACTGTACGTGTGCGCCCGCACGTGGTATTTTGTGGAAGAGCCACACTCAAGGGGCTGCAGTTCGCCGACCACTGGCCTAGATCATTGGAAACATAAGCAGTGGACAGGATGCTTCTACTTTCTAATCAAGCCCTGTGCTAGTTTGTCTTCTGTTGCCGAAGTATACTATTGCAGCTTTGGCGGTAACATTTCTTAAATATTACTAAAATCCATTTTACTTGCTGCGCCTCCAACTTAGAAAGGTTTGGCTCTCCCTAAGCAGGCTGTGTGTTTGCATTTGGTTTCACATAGATTGAGACCTGCTATTTAATCTTTTTTGATGTGTTGGTATAAGGTTTCTCCCCTTAATCTTTATTTCTGGACCTTCAGAAGGTTGGTTTTTGTTTGGTAATAAAACTTACGAGCTTGACACCTTACCTGAAGACTTTGGTACCATAATCAGATGCTGTGTTGCTGTGGTGTAATTTCTTGTTCCCATTTCTACTGAAACCTTCTGCCTTATTTTGTGAGGAGTAGGTAATAATTTGATCCTCTTCCTAACAAGAATTTCTTCCCACAAAGTGTTTTTGGTTGCTGAGGAGGGTAGAGACCTAAGTTTAGACACTTTAGGAAAACTGCCTTGGAGAGCAGATCCAAAGATTAACCGTTTGTTGTACATTTTTGCCCCATTCTGAGACTTTGGGAAAGTGAACAGACGGGAATTCTGTAAATGTTTCCTTCCCTCTGGCCTCTTCTGTCTGCCTCCCTTTTCTTTTCTCCAGGCCCTGATTTGAGACTAATTTTTCCTCTCTCTACTCTGAAAACAAAAACAGAGTTAGTTCTGTTTTGCAGCTTGAGAGAGGTTATAGATTCAGTAAGGCTTTTTTACCCAAGGATGATAAAAATTAGTAATAGGTAAAGGGGGTGGAGCATGTGGTGTTAATGGAGTGAAACAATGGATACTTCAGTGTTTACCCCCTTATTCTCTACTGTGTATCTCCTTATCTCTTTACCTCCTGGTTCATAGGTCAGCGCTCAACCACTGAGCCACACCGGCCTGGCTCAGTCCATCCCTTTAAGCCTATTTACATTCTCTCAGATTCACAGGTATCCTTTTTCCTCTTTATCCTCCATGGAGAGGACACTTTACCTCCTTATCCTCTAATCTTCCATAAAAGCACTTAGCCTTCTCTTTCTAAAGTCTAATCATTCTTTCCCTGATTCAACTCACTTTCCCCAAATCCTTGAGAGTGTGAATTTTTTACTAACCTTTTCATCTCATTCTAGCAGCTGTTCTTATGTTGGTCAGAAATCTCTCATCTCCAAGCCTGATCACCAAATCCTCCTCTTGTCTCATAGTCATTCTACACATACTTTTTGAGCATGGATAGATCAAGATGCCTGTCTTTTCCACTAATTTAGTCTTTAAATAGTAAGCCCCCCCCCCTTTTTTAAAAATATATTTTATTGATTTTTTACAGAGAGGAAGGGAGAGAGATAGAGAGTTAGAAACATCGATGAGAGAGAAACATCGATCAGCTGCCTCCTGCACATCCCCCACTGGGGAAGTGCCTGCAACCCAGGTACATGCCCTTGACCGGAATCGAACCTGGGACCTTTCAGTCTGCAGGCCGACGCTCTATCCACTGAGCCAAACCGGCTTTGGCAGTAAGCCCCTTTTAAGACATCAATGGGCACCCAGGCTTCCAATCCTTTCTCTGGGATCCAAGTACCTTTCCTTCCTATCCCCCAGTCTCACTAGTGTAGCTGATCCAAGATCCAGGTGTGATTAGCTGACTGAGGCTTTCTTTTTCTGTCCTGAAGCTGTGACATTCTCTGCATACCTGGAAGCTCTTAATGAGGGAGTCTATAAAAGATGTGGAGGGAACTAGCTTCCTCAGCTGTAAATCTGCACCTTTTTATGGTTCTCCAAGGATCATTCTTTTTTTCTCCACCATCACTCCAAACTCCTTCCCCCACGCCAACTCCTGGGAACTTCTGAAGATTCAAGGTTAGAAGCTTCTGTGGGGGTAAGGGGTATAGAAAGATGTGAATAGGAGCAGGATTTCTTGATATTGAGCCCTGTTTCCATGTCTGACACGAGAAACAGATGAAGGGGAAGGAAAGAACTTAACTGTTCTCCCTGTTGTATGAGGGCCTCTGATAGGTAATGTCATTCACCTGATTATTGAAATCCATCAGAAACTAACCTCTGCCTCTCTTGCAACATGTCCACACTTGTTTTTAAACTCCAAAGAAATTACCAAATAATGGTGGAATTCACACCTTTGCAGACCCTTTGAGCCCAGGGTGCTCCCAGCTTTCTTTTCTCAACTACTTCAGTGCAATTCCTTGTTCGACCACACTAGCTCTACTGGTTCTGAGACCCTGGACAAATTAATTATTCTGTGACTCTCTCCAGACCCTGTACCAACAACCCTGTGAAAATTGATGTTATGTACTCGGCACAATTTTTTTACCATAGTTTGAGTAGTATTCGTTCAATAAATATGAAATCTTAATTTTACTAGGTTATTTACAGTGAGAAGATTTTCTTTTCCCCAAGTAGGTCCCAGCTAAAGGGTAAGGGACTGAGTGGATTAGGTTGAGTATGTGTATGTGTGTGTATACTACATATGCAGGTACAATGTTAGGAGGTTCAGAGAGTGGAAAGAGGTAGGAATCTAATTGCTCCCTTACCCCCAGCTCATTGGTAGGAAAGCTGACATTGTTGCCTGGGGCAGACTTCCCTGCTTCAGCCTCACTAGAGAGCAGAAGCTGTAAATAAATGCCACTGCCTGTGGTGCTTAGCTTGGAGCCCCTGACATCCCCAAATGGACAGATAGAGTATAGGCTAGCTACTCATGCATTGGGTTGGAGGATGTTGGGGATAAAAGTCATCTTGCAGTTTCTTCTGAATGTCCTCTCAAAGCAGGAAACAGCAGTAGGGGGAGAAAAAAGTCTTAGCTCAGGTAAAACGCTAGGGGTAGGTGTGGATACAGCAGCTCCTTGGGAGGACAGTGTGTAGCACTTTTCTCCTCTCTCAACCTCGGTCTTGTAGTTTGGTCTGAGGTGGGGTCATTCTGAAGATAGAACTAACAAAACAGGAATGCATGGTGGCATATTAAACCTTCCATGGCCCTGTCCCCCCATTCTGGATCAGATCGATGTTACAGTAGCTTTTCTTCCTTTTTTTTTTTTTAATGTAAGTTAGGGAAGATTCCTTTGCTACACCTAACTCTTTTGCCTTGGAAGTATGCTCTAGGCCAGGGGTGGGCAAACTTTTTGACTCGAGGGCCACAATGGGTTCTTAAACTGGACCGGAGGGCCGGAACAAAAGCATGGATGGAGTGTTTGTGTGAACTAATATAAATTCAAAGTAAACATCATTACATAAAAGGGTAAGGTCTTTTTTTTCAATAGTTTTATTCATTTCAAATGGGCCTCTGGCCCACGGGCCTTAGTTTGCCCACGGCTGCTCTAGGCTCACGGGAGACATTTTTGAGATGCTTAACCACTTTTGGTGCACTGGCAAGGTGAATGGCCATGTTAGCTTGGTTTGTGGATTTTGTAAAACTTAGCTGAGGAACCCTAGGATCAGGGAACTGCAGAATAGGATAAACATTAGCAGGATGGTCTCAAGAGAACTTTTAGATCTTCCATTCTTAGGAAGCTGGGAGAGGGTTTTGTAATCTTTGGGACTGTTTTGATAAAGCTCTCTAGAGAGTTGTTGTTCTAGGTCCCCTCCCTTGGTCTGCATGTCCCAACCATCATCCCAGATGACAATAGTGGTTTTCCCTTGCTCCAATGACTGCCATCTTCTTAGTTCTTGAGCACAAGGTTCCGTCCTCCCAGATCCTCTTCTGTTCCTGGTCTGAGGTATAAATGTTCGCGCTTAGTTAGGGAGAAGAGCTCATCACTGAATTCTAAATTCTTTGACTGCTTTTATTTTTCTTTTTTCAGGTTCAAGTGCTGGATTGTGTCATGTGACCATCCCAAAAATCAGAGCACCCTATGGCCATCTTTGCCCTCTGTCACATAACTTGAAAACTGCCTGATGGCCTTTTTGCAATGGTTCCCTCCAGGAATCTTTGATCTCAGTGAAAAGTTCTTTCCCGGCGTACCAGTGCCCATCGGCCCCATACTCCTCAGACACCCTTAACAAACAAAGGCAATCACGCACACAGTGTAACAAATACACAAAGTAAATAATAATTACACTAATTATGATCTGAGGGCACTGGTGAGGTCCACACACATCATGAGGTGGGAGGGGAGTGCTAGTTTCCACGAGGCCGCTGGGCTATGCCCCCCCGGCCTTTTTGGGGGTGGAAGAACCAGGGAAAGGAGACTTCAACTCAGGTTTATGTTCATAAGAGAAATACCCTCCCCCAAAGGTCTTTATTTGGTGGTATTAAAGGGGCATATTCTAAGTGTCCCCAAATCTAATGCCCCAACTCTATAGAATTTGTAGAGGGAAGTCATCTGATACCTATTGCCAAACCCCCGCCCTGTGCCAAGATCAAGAGGCATGGGCATTTGACCTTGGAGAAGGCATCTTCTGTTCTTCACTGCTCTGCTCCTCTCCTTTCACCAAGAAAAAGTGAATGGTGTTGCCGGTTCTCCAAGATTGGGCCAGAAGGAAGGATAAAGAATGGAGTCAGAGAGGAGAGGCTGGGGGATTAGCGTAGCTGCTGTATGTGAGGAGGCAAGTTGAAATGCTTAATAGCCCCTGCCCATTCCTATACTGAAACACCATATCTCACTTTTTCACTATGGGAATGGGAATAAGATACTAAAGATCACCAACACCACCTTCCCAAGGGTGGTCCCATACCTTTGCCCCTTCCACTGGCTGGACCATGTGGGAGAGTCATGCTCTTGGGAAAATCAAGCCTTCCTGGTCAGCTCTCCAGCTTGGGCTTAACTTTGTTCAGTACCGTTTGTATCAAGAACCGTAACTACTGACTCGACTGAAGAATAACAATTTTACTGAAGGTTCTTTCCCCCTCCTCTCCTGACCCTCTAGGCTCTTGCCTGGAGCCAAGAAGTCTGGTGGTGAGGTATGGGTAGGGTGTGGGTCAGGAGATTCTCAGCTCCTTGGCTTCAGGCACTGTCCAGCTGGGAGGCAGAGGGGAACTTGTACTCTGAAGCCTGTGACTCCTCTAAGCCTCACATCTCTTCACCACTACTCTGGTGCCCTGGTTATCTGTCCCACAGCGAGAGGTATTTTATGTCCATAAAGTGCCCGTGGTAAGTGCTCAGAATTCATCTCTTGGCTGTGGCGGGTGCTGCTATTTTTCATTCCATCGAGGGGAAGAAACTGAGGCACAGTGAGTCCAGAGGAGGGTGGGTCAGGATTGTGGGAGGAATGAACAGGCCCAGCTAGTGACTTGGAGTGGTAACCAATCCCTGCCTGCTTCCTAGCCTTTCAAACAAACCAGGGAGTCTCCAGCCTTCCCATCCTCTGCTCTAATTGGCCTTGTCAGGTGCTTTTACACACTGTATTGTCCCCATCCCTGCTGCCAGGTACTGCTAGATTCCAAAAATAAAACATAAAAATAATTATACACTCTGCTCCCTTATTCTCCCCCCTTCCACCCTGAGCTTTGGGGTTGAGGAACTAAAATGTCCCCCCCTCCAGAATCCCTTCCACCTTGGTCTGCTGGCTCTATTCCTTAGCCCAGAGCAGTAATTTGGATTCAGATGCCCTGTAACCATCAGCCTCCTCTCTACTCCTTTCTTAACCCCTCCTAACCCTTCCCAGACCTCTCTATACTCTTCTTTTTATTGACCTAAAGGTAGAGGCTGGGAGCAAGGGCATTCCACAGGCTCTTTGGTCTCTCTTTTGGCTGGTGGGAATTTGGGCATAAACAGGCCACACCCTCTAGGTAAATAACTCAGTACTATGAGGGTAGATCTGAGTGAGTTTAGTGGCTCTCATATAGATCCTGGATGTTGAAGGCTGGCTCCCCCAGCTCCTAAACCGTAACCGCTTACTGTTTCCGTGACCGCTGGCAGTTCCACCCCTTTGGCTCAGGAAGGTTAATTAAGTAGGGTGATTATGGATTGGAAGCTTCCCCATATGTCAGCCCTCTTGTCCTTTACTCCCGTTCCCAACCCTAGAGGCTTTATACAAGTGCTTAAGTAGGTGGGTATTGAGGGAGGACAGGGTTTAGGGAATAAGGGACAAATGGGGCACAGTGAACAGGGGCCCTTCTATTTCAGTAAAGCCAAATACCAAAAAATGAAAAGTCACAATAAATAAATAAATAATATTCCAAAATCCTCACTTTTGCTCCTGCCCTCACTTCCCTTCCCCTGGCCACTGCTAGAGAGAGAGAAAGGGAAGAACTAAGAATGGATTTTTTGATTTCCTTTCCTACTGAAAATGGTAGTCAGGGGGTCTCCCCAAAACATATCAAGCCCCTCACCTTGCCAGTGGAAGAAAGGAGGCTTGGTATGGGGCTTTCTCTTTTTACTCCCTTTCAGTCTCTTTCTCATTATCTCTGCCTAGTCTGTCTCATCTGCCTCTCCATCCCGTCGCCTTCTCACTGCTGCTCTTAGTGTTCCTCTGTCTCTATCCCTCTGCTCTACCTCTCTCTCTATGCCTCTCTGTCTTCTTGCCAAACCTTTTCACCTGCAAACCTCAAACACTCCCCACCTGACCTGTCCCCTCCTCTTCTCCCTTTCCCCCAAACCCCTCACCCTTCAATCCCCAACCTGCCTCCCTCTATTGTATTGCACACTGCTTGGGCAGGGAACAAGATGTGATGCTCATGAGAAGAGGTGGAGGGAGATCTAGGGCCTGTGGGGGAACTGGGTCAGGGCTGGGATCTGGGGGTAGGGTCTGTGGAGGCGGCATCCTCTGTCCTCCACCTTAGGAGCAGCCACAGCGATCCACCACCATGCCAGGGATCTTGCCGTAGATAATCTGCTGCTTGTCATTGAAGTAGAGCATGTTGATTGGGGACATCTTGGTGGGAGTGCAGCAGGGCCCAGCAGAACCTCTTGGATTAGCCTGTTGCACCAAGTGGGTGTGTGGATACTTTTGCATGAACATGTACTCGCACTGGCCCGAGCAGTAGTTGGCCTTGTAGCGTTTAGGTGCGATGATCCAGTCCCAGCCGAAAGCCTCGAAGTCCACTGTGAGGGGATATCGGCAGCAGCGGGACTCACTGGAGTGCTCATCGCAGTCCAGGCCCAGGTTCCGCCGGGACCGCTTTGTGTTCTCGAGGACGCGAAGCTCCATGAAAGGATGCTGGGACGGGAGAGGAGAGAGAGCTGTGACAGAGTCCTGAAGGGTTCGTACTCAGTGTTCTTTCTCACCTGCCCTCAACAGGGGCAGGAGAACAGAGACCACCTCTCAGCTTTCCCACTGCTCCCATCCCCAGCCAGTGTCTTCTGCCCACTTTTCTTGCCAGCTAGCCATCTCTCCTTCAATTCACCTTTCCTAATTCCTCCCCTGGCAACCTAACTCTCATCAGCCCCTTGGCCAGAGGCCTCATCAAGAGTCCATTTTTGTGTTCCCGCGGATCTCCCCTTAACTCACACCTTCAACCAAATCCAGTTTTCAGCTGTTGGCCTGGCTTGGATATCTGAAAAGTGATAGTTGCCACTCCCCTTCCCTCCCAAACTCCTCCTCTAGAATCAGCTTCTGGCCCCAGATAAATAATGCTAGTCCACAACCCTCTTCACATTCCTGATCTACCTTTTCCAACATCCCACCTCCTCAGGGCCAGGTTACACATATCCGCCACCATCTCAGGCTCCCTGCTCACCAGCCCCTCAGCTCCTGGCCCCAGAGAGGTGACAGCCAGGTCTGTGCCACTGGGATCAAAGGCGTTGATCTCGATGCCCCAGTTGCTCTGTGGCTGGCGAAACCAGCTGTGTAGCACTTGCTTGAAGTCGATGCTCTGCCAGTGGCCGGAGCGGGAGTGCAGCTCAATCTTGAGTGATCGGATACGGATGTGACGTCGGCCTCCCCCACCTCCCCCAGGAGTCCCTTCCCCAGTTAGGGGTTTCAGCCGCAAGATCTGAAGGTAGACTGTGGCTGGGCGGGGCACAGGCCGTAGATACACCCACAGCTGGGCCTTTAGTACCTTCGTGAACATCACCTTGGGGCTGAAGTGGAAATGACAGCAGAGAGGGCTGCCATCTGTCTGCACCGCAGGGTCCGCTGATAAGAGAGAAGGGGGTACAAGGTTAGCAAAAGTGTTTGTGGAGGAGGTCAGCAGTCCTGGGTGGCACTGGCAACTTGGAGTCCTCAGCCTGAGTTTTCCAGTTCTTCACCCTTCTCCCATGCCTGTCTTGTTGACTACCGTGTCACTGATACCCAGAACAGTGTCTCCTCTTTTCCGCTGTAAGATGACTGACTGCTCTATCAAGTCTTACTAATCTGTACCCATTCCCTAATCCAATTGCCCTAATGCGTAGGTTCTCCTCTACCAGATAACCTGCAAAGGTGGTTATTAGAGGATTCTTCCATCTGCAGTCTTCCCTTTCTCCAACTTTCCCCAACATGTAGGGCTCTAACTTCTGAACCTTTGATGTTCTTCAAAGAAGCCAAACCTCATATCACACCTGCTGTCCTCAGGTCACCTTGTCCCAGTTTTGCTCTGTTTTGTCTGGTGGCCAGGTGGGGAACCTGTTATAGCATCCCACGCCCCCCAAAAACACACACACACACAATATAAAACAAAACAGATGACCTCAGAGAGTGGATAACCCATGGTCCAGAGAGAGAGCATGGGCTAAATTTATTTCATGAAGTAAATCAGATCTAGGCTTCCTGGCATCATTCACACTAGAACTACTACGCCTGGAACTAACACGAACTACTCAAGCACTCCTGTGCATTTGGCTCTCCCATTAACCTGAAAACCAGTTTCCTCAGCTGCTGCCTCATCCTCATCACCGTTACCACCTCAGCTTTTGAGAGGGAAAAACTACCTCTATGTTGTTTCCTCCTACTTGCCCAAAGCATCAGAAATAATAATCCACACACCAGATGAACTGTAATCAGTCTTTTCTCCCTTGAGCTTCCTGTCCAGTGCCAGCAACTCTTTGCAAAGGTTAACATCCAAACTTTACATTTTGGCCCATTTCCCCTTGTTCTGGACCATAAATTGATTCTTCTTGGATCTAAAAGATGATGCTTAATATTTGCCTCTGCTTCCATTGCAGCTCCTCTCAGTTTCCTTCCTAATCCCTGAAGTCAGTTGGAAATGCCTTAAATCATGTTTTCATTGGGCAGGAATAGCCATCTCACTCTAAATGGACAGAGAGGAAGATTCAGGAAGGAGCTTCTAGAGCCATGTAAGAATGATTAGGAAGTCAAGTAATATGTATCGTGCCCAGGTCTCGGAGTTCTGCATAATCGTGGAGGATTTAGCATCTGCGGTTGGTCTCCCACCAGCATTCCCCCACCCCCACCCCAGAAGAAGGAGGGTCCTCCAAGTGAGATGGGGAGGAAAGTGCTTAATGATCTTCATGTATTCAGGACACAAGACACCAAGCTCCTCTGTAGCTTCCTTCCCCTTGGTTCTGTTCTGAGATCCCAGGGCACTGGTTGTCCTCCCAGTTACTCTCCCGCTGGAGCTGTGGGGTGCAATGGGGTAGGGTTCCAAAGTGGAAACTCAGAGACCAGGAGTGCTGGGCAGGGGAGCGGCTGGTGAGATGGGGGCAGCGACAACCCAACCAGCACACTATGCCTCGTTGCAGCACAAGGATTGTCTTCTTTTCCTGTGTCTTCACCATGAGGTCCTAATCCCCATGCGTGTGAACATTGTTGATACTGTGTGTTTTGCTCATTGTGGCTTTAGTGCCTCCGTAGTACCAGGCAGTGTTCACTAAATGCATGCTGACTGAGCTCCCTAACCTCCCAATCTTAGATTGTACAGGCCAGTGCCGGAAAGTCCTTCCTGACATCTCAGCTCTGTTCTCTGACTGTAGTTGAAATGGGTTTCATCACTACCTGACTTCTCATTGACCAGCATCTGACCTTACCCACCAAACTTCTCAGTGATACAGATAATAATCCTTGCTCCATAGGAGTGCTGAGCATTAAATAAAGAATCTGAAAATAGCAGAAGCTTCTCAGGAAATGTTGGTTTATTGTTAGTTTCCTAAGCTGGCCCCAGGGCCCGTCCTCCCAAGTCTCTAAGGCAGAGTCCCCCGTCCCCACCCCAGGGAATCACCGTACACTTCTCACCCAGTGGATGTGGGGACAGTCAGGTCCTACAGGGGACAGGACTAAAACATTGCGTGGAAAAAGAAAAGTAAAGGGGAGATGAGAGACTGGAGATGGTGAGGGAGATAATAGAGAGACTGTTAGGGATGAAGGCAGGGTCGAAGAGACAGATAGGCAGAGAAATGGAGAGGAGAAGGAAGAGAAGGGAGGATCACGGTAGAGGAAGAAATCAGCTTGGGATTTGGAGACTACTGGGAGGAAAGGGGGAATTTATAGGAGCGGGTGGAGGTTAAGCAGCAAAAGGAGGGTGGTAGGTAAGCCCAGTGGGATGAAGAGAAAGGACAGAAGGATACACTGGGAGGAACAAAGGAGAACCAGGTAGAGCCACGGAGGGAAGCAGGGGGCTTGAGAGAGTCCCCAACACACACATAGGCCCAGCTCCCAAGGGGAGGGGAAGGAGCCACATCTGTGTTGGATTGATCGGGTTGGTGGCAGGCAGCAGGTCAGGTTTAGTAGGCGGTGCTGGTCTGGAGAGAGGTCATTGCACTATTTTCAGCAAAAGCCCAACCCCCTCACTGCTCACCACCTCGCCCTCCCCGCCCCCCTACTCACATACACACTCTTCTAACCCCGGCTGGAAGGCCTAGGGGCAGGAGGTTGGGCTGAGAGGACCGGGGCCTCTTGGTGTAGGGAGGAGAGAGAAACTGAGGGGCTGGGCTTGGCTCCCAGAAGGGCAAGGGGGCTGGGTTCCCAGGATGAAGGCTGGGGTGGGAGAGCCTAAGAGGGTGGAGGGAACTAGGGCAGGCACTGCAGCCTAGGAGAGGTGGGGGCTGGGGTCCAGGGTTGAGGACTGGGGGAGGGGAGGAGGGGGAGGGGAGCGGAGGCCATCTCTGCTGACAAACACCTCCCCCGATTAGCAGAGCACAAGTCTCTTATTAAAGCGGGTCCCTGGGGATTAGACTATAAAAGTCTCTTTTTCCTTTTCCCCTCTCTCCCTCCCCTCCCCTCCCCTCCACTCCCCCTCCCTCTCTTAAGAGCTCAGCTTGGCTCTTAAAGGGGACGTACAACACCTGGCCAGAGACCCAGTCCCTAGTTATCCACGTCCTGGGGTGGCAAGAGGGTGTCCTTCTCTCTTCACCCGTGACCCAGCCTAACCTGCACTTCCCAATCCAGGCATGCAGAGTCCTAGCCGTTCATTTCCCGCACCCCCTTTACCTGGGCTAACTCTGGACTCAGGCCCATTGGTTAAGGGATGCTGGGGGTAGGAAAGAGCAAGGGAAGCCCACGGCTCTATCACCCATCTGGAAATCCTCACATACGACTCCACATAGGCCAGGGGACCTTTTCCCTGTTCATCGCCCAGCAAACTCTTTTCCAGAATTCCTCTATAACTGTTTCACAAACCCCCACCCCCATCGCTGCCCTCAGTCAATAGCACACTAACCCTAGCTTCTATAAAGCAAAAGCCTTCAGAACAGAAGGAAGACTGAGGGAAACCCAAGCTCAGATCCCAAGCCGGCACCTCCACCCCACCCCAAAGTTAATGTCCTAGTTCTTTGAGTCTTCTTTTCTTTACGACCCTGACCCAGTGCTGTGGAGTTAGTCTGCAGAAAAACTGGTGGCGGCGTAAGCACTCTGCCTCCCAGATGCACACCTGGGTTCCTGTGCCTCTCCCATGGGAGTGGGCCACTAGGACTCCCCTCAGCCCCCAGCTTTTTATGACCCATCTGCCAATAAAACATCTCCCCCTCTTCTGTTCAGAGCCATAAAACCAAACAGTTGTGTGTGTGTGTGTGTGTGTGTGTGTGTGTGTGTGTGTGTGTGTGAGGGAGGGGGGGTACTTTGCCAAACCTCTAAGAGGGCCTGGTTCCCTGGAGGTGGGGGTGGGGGGGGGTGGGCGTGGGGGGGGCCTTCGTGGGGGAGGGGAAAGGCAGTGGTCTGACCCTGGGGAGAGCAGGGGAGTTTGGGGATGTTGCGGGGAGTGTTGGCTGGATTTTCCAGGCCATAAAATTTCAAAGCAGCACAAGTCTATTAACATGTTCATCTTTCCTCTGGCCAGGGGCTTGGATGCCTGGTTTCATCCCCCTCCCCATGTATTTCTTTCTTTTTCTCCTTGGGTCTTCCTCTCTCTCCTCAAGTGCGGGTGCGGGTAGGGGCGGTGAGTAAGGGGTGGAGCACTCAGGTTTGAGCCGCCAAACCCGTGCGGGTAACCGCGGCGCCTGGAGCGGGGTTCTCTGGGCCAGTCAGTACCCAGAAGGCACAACTTTCCTGCCCCTCAGGGAGCCCAGGTGTCAGAGGGCTCCTGGCGGAGGGAGTGCCAGGTGGGCTACGTACCGGGACAGACACGGGGCTTTGGGATCGCGTTCCTGGGGGAGGGAGAGGCGCACTCCGTTCTCCGTAGCCCGGGGGCGCGTCGCGGAGCCCGGGGTTGGAGCGGGTGCCGAGTGGGTGCCGGGGGCGTGGGAGGCGGAGAGCACGGCAGCCCCGCCACGACCGCGGGGCCGGCAGCCTCCGACTCCGTCCCCAGCCCCTCCACCGCGACTCTTCAGGACTCGGTGCTGTCCCTCCGGCCGCGGCCGGCCCCGCGGCTCCGGACTCCCGCTCGCACGGTCCTCCGCGCACACCCGGGGCAGAAGGCGCTGCCCGGCGATCCTCGGGGCTGGCCGCCCCACCCCCTCCAGGGACGGGGCGTGCACGCCACTCGGCGCTCACCTCCACCGCTAGAGAAACTTACATGGAGCAGCCCCCGCCCCCCGATCCGTCAAGTTTCCGCAGAACAGGCTTCCGGGCCGGAGCCACCGGAGCGCCCCGCTCCCGAGCAGGAGGCGCTCACTTCCCCGGAGCCCGGGTCGGCACCCCCCGCCGCTCGCGCCCGCCCGCCACTCACTCTCCTGGGCCATGCTAATGACAGTCTCCGTGGTGGCGTGGTACTCGTCCTCCTCCAGGAAGTCCTCGGGCTGCAGCGCGTCCCCCTGGAAGTCGTGCAGGTCCAGGATCTGCTGCAGCGGCGGCGCCTTGGGCAGCAGCTGCTTCACCACCTCGCGGCTGATGTTGGGCGCCTCCTTGAGCCTCAGTTTGCTCAGGATCTGCGACTTGATGCTCTCCAGGCGCAGCTCGCGGCTGTGCTGCCGCCACACGCACACCGGGCAGCCGTCGGGCTCGGGCGCCGCGGACGCGGCCGGCCGGCTCGAGCGCTCCCCCCCGACCCCCGCCGCCGCCGCCTCCGCCGCCGCCACCGCGGGTCCCTCGGCCGCCTCCCCCCGGGGCCGCAGCTCCAGGGCGAGGAGCAGGAAGCCCAGCAGCAGCGGGGCCGCGAGCACCATGCTGGAGGGGAGGGGAGGGAGGACTGGGGGGCGGGGACGCCGGAGTCCCGCGGGGAGGGGGCGGAGGGAACAGGGAGGGAGGAGGAGGGGGTCCCGGCGGCGCGGGATTGGGGGCTGCCCGGCCGAGGGGGACCCGGGGGGGCCGGGGGCGGCGGGCGCGCGGGCGGGGCGGGCGGGCGACCGGGGCGGGAGGCTGGGGGGGCCCGAGCCCGGGCCAGGCCCTTTATAGCCCCGGCCCCCGTGTCGTCAGCGGCCGCGATTGGCTGCGGAGCCAACAAAAGAGGCCGCGCTGTCATCCGAGGCGAGAGAGGGAGCCGGAGAGAGCCGTGGAAGAGGGAGAGAGGGAGGGAGCCGGGGCCCAGAGCGAGACGGGGAGACCGCGATCTTGGGGTGGGGGGCAGAGAGAGTCAGCGACCAAGGGGAGACAGAGAGAGAAAGAGGGAAGGAACCGATCGGAGGAACAGAAACAGAAAAAGCAGGAGGAAGAGGAGAGAGACAAAAGGGAGGCGGGGGAAGAGGGAGTCGGAGGGGAAGACGCGGGGAGCAGAGACTTAGCTAGAGAGACGGGCACGACTAGTAGCGGAGTTAGAGGGGGGAGAGCCAGCGGCAAAGACCGGGAGAGACTCAGGGAGGAGAGAGGGGCGGCTAGACAGGGGAGAGGAGTCTACAGAGCCCGTCCTCCAGCGGTCAGGTGTGCGGAGAGGTGGAGCCGAGGCAGAGGAACCGATGGGGCAGGGACCGGACCTGGGAAAGAGGTGGTGGAGGGAGAAAGCAAGGGAGCCCGTGAGGAGGCCCACCCAGAGGATCGAGGGAGGCAGAGCTGAGAAGACAGACGCCCGGGGGAAGGAGAGACAGCACAGGGACAGGAGCCAGCCTAGTGGGAGCATGGAGAGCCTGATGGGGAGGAGGGGAGAAAGCGAGTCCAGAGGAGCCCTCGCTTAGCCCAAAGATGTTTAAAGGAGCCATGGCCCGAGCCAGTTTGGCTCGGTGGATAGAGCATCGGCCTGCAGACTTAAGGGTCCCGGGTTTGATTCTGGTCAAGGGCACATGCCCGAGTTGCGGGTTGCGAGCTCGATCCCCAGTAGGGGGCGTGCAGGAGGCAGCCAATCAATGATTCTCTCTCATCATTGATGGTCATTGATGTTTCTCTCTCTCTCTCTCTCTCTCTCTCTCTTCCTTCCTCTCTGAAATAAATAAAAATATATTTAAAAGAAGAAGAAGCCATGAAGGGGAGCCTCAGGCTGTCTCATCAGGGGAATCAGAAAGAGAAAATGGAGGGATTAGACATGGGGGTTAGCCAGAGAGACCAGGAGCTGAAGAGGACAGGGACAATCTGAGAAGGTGGAGAGGTGTGTGGGAAGCCCTGAGACCAGAGGAAGACTTAAAGCTGGGAAGAGGTCATGAGCTTGAAATTGAGGCTTGAAATGGATAAGGTAATTAGCAGGTTGGAGGAGGCAGAAGGGGGGGGGGGATCGGAGGAAGCAGTGGTGAAGACCACTACACTACGCTTGCAGAGGAATCTGTATCTCTGGATTCCTAGCTATACTTTAGGACCTGCAGGGTCTTAGCAATCTGAGAAGGGGCCAGTAGTTTTAGGGGTGAGAATAAGGGAGACATCTGCCCTCAGATGCCTGAGTTGGAGACAGCAAGTTGTAGAGAGGGAAACCCAGATGTGGAACCAGTCCCAGTCTTCAAGTGTGACCTTGGGTAAGCCAGAAGGCAGAGTAGAAGACTGCCAAGTACTCAAATGCTCCCTAAGTGCTTAGCTTCTGGTTCTGGATACCTCTTCCCAGGCCTCAGTTTCTCCCAGCTTATTTCTCGATCCTAAAGTCCTGGAGGTCAATAGACAACCAATAGATTGGACATGTTTAGGAGACTGGATCTTGCTGGTTTCCTGGCATACACAACATTTATTGAACCAATGGGAGAACATAATTGGGTTTCCCAGGCAGATTAGAGAGACACTGGGCTCCTCTCTGGATTAGAGCCCAATACAGTGTCTTAAAGTTGTCTTGATGAAGCACTAGGTATAAGGACAGAGTTGGACTGGGAGCTGGAGTGAAATGAAGGAATAAATTGGTGATCTAGGCGTGAAAGATGCCAAGATAAATAAGATAGTCCCTTTCCTTAGGGAACGTATAGACTAGACAAGACACTAGGTGAACAGTACTGGCCAAATCTCCATCTGGAAGTCGCAAGGTAGCTCAAAGATTAGACGGGATAACTAGAGAACTTCTCTCCCTCCCCCTAAAATGCATCCCCTTCCTGATGTTTTTCATTTATAGTGAATGACATTCAATCATCCAGTCCATAAACCTGGACGAAGCCTTCATTTTCTTTCTCTCTTTTTAAATGGTTTATTCATTAATTTAAGAGGGAGAAAAAGAGAGAGAGGAAGGAGAGAGAGGGAGAGAGACATCGATCTCTTCTTCCACTTATTTATGCGCTCGTTGGTTGACTCCTGTACGCACCCTAACTGGGATCAAACCTGAAACCTTGGCACATTGTGATGACAGACGCTCTAACCAACTTAGCTACGCAGCCTCTTTCTCTTGATCACCTGAGTCTTTTTTTTTTTTAAATATATTTTATTGATTTTTTTTACAGAGAGGAAGGGAGGAGGAGAGGGATAGAGAGTTAGAAACATCTCGAGAAACATTGATTCAGCTGCTTCCTGCACACCTCCTACTGGGGATGTGCCCGCAACCAAGGTACATGCCCTTGATCAGAATCGAACCTGGGACTTTTCAGTTCGCAGGCCGACGCTCCATCCACTGAGCCAAACTGGTCAGGGCCTGAGTCTTTTTAAAAATATATATATTTTATTGATTTTTTACAGAGAGGACGGGAGAGGGATAGGGAGTTAGAAACATCGATGAGAGAGAAAATCGACCAGCTGCCTCCTGCACACCCCGTACTGGGTATGTGCCCACAACCAAGGTACATGCTCTTGACCGGAGTCGAACCTGGGACTCTTCAGTCTGCAGGCCGACGCTCCATCCACTGAGCCAAACCGGTCAGGGAGATCACCTGAGTCTTTGTACAAGTTGTTTCCTCTTCCTAGAACAGCTCCCCTTCCTACCTCACCTGTTCACACGCACACACACAACCTCTTGGCCATATTTACTTCTTGCTCAGTTCTCAGTACAGATGAGATTTTAGACATGTCTTTGAGAAGTCCATTCCTGACTCCCAAGTTTAGAGTAGATGCTCCTTCTAGCTCATCTGCACCACTTTGTGTGCGTATGGGGGTTAATCACAAAGCTTCTGGAATTAGGCTGCCTGGTTTCAAGTTCCTGTTCTCCCCTTTTCCTGACTGTGTGAACTTGGCTCTATGCTTCAGATTCCTCACCTATAAGATGAGGAAAACAATATTGTATCTATTCCATAAGATTACGCAGATGAACTGCCTGGCACACAGTTTCAAATGAATTCATTAGTCATTACTGTTAGCCCAACTTACCACCTTACTTTTTAAATTTATTTATTTTTTATTGATTTCAGAGAGGAAGGGAGAAGAGAGAGATAGAGAGAGATAGAAACATCAATGATGAGGGAGAATCACTGATCGGCTGCCTCCTGCTCATCCCCTACTAGGGATCAAGCCTGCAACCTGGGCGTGTGCCCTTGGCCGGAATCAAACCTGGGACCCTTCAGTCCCCAGGCTGATGCGCTATACGCTGAGCCAAACTTGCTAGGGCCCACCTTACTTTTTTTCCCCACCGAAGTATTCTATTCTTAACTGCTTTGAATAAAGAATGAATGAGCCGAAACCGGTTTGGCTCAGTGGATAGAGTGTCGGCTTACGACTGAAGGGTCCCAGGTTCGATTCCAGTCAAGGGCATGTACCTGGGTTGTGGGCACATGGAGATGTGCAGGAGGCAGCTGATCGATGTTTCTCTCTCAGTGATGTTTCTGACTCTCTATCTCTCTCCCTTCCTCTCTGTAAAATATCAATAAAATATATTAAAAAAAAAAACTGAACTGAAGCTTTAAAAAAAAAAAAAGAATGAATGAACCCTGCTGACTGGATCTGGTCAGAGCTGGGTTGGGAAGAGAAAACTGTATTTATGGTCATGAGGAGTTATGGGTACCTGCCAAATACCAGAGAGCAGGAATCAGGCACAAATTCTGAGACAGAAAGATTTCCACCTCCTGGTTTCCTCCCCAAGACGTCCAAGACCGCACTTAATGCAATGAGTAGGGAAGACTGCCATCTGGTGTTAGATTCTGGAATTGCTACTTCTTGGAATGGGACTAAACGCCTTTTTTTGTTTTTTTCTTTTTGTTTTGAATTCCTTACATATTTTCACTTTAGATTTCTAGCCCCAAAAGTTCTATAACATAATGCATTAAGCCTTGTTCCTCTCTCCCGAGACCCAGTCCCGAGAGGAGAGCCCTGCTGCCTTTACGGAAAAGGAGTTGGGAGAGCTGAACATTCAGATCCTTCCTCATCCCGGTGCTGGCGAACCAGGGTTTGGGGCCCCGCCCACTGTCCTGATCTCCCTGGCAACTGTCTTCTGGCCGGGGGTGCCGCTCTTCCTGCGTTACCCAAGCAACCTTCAGGCCCGCCTCCTTCAAGGTCCTGACTGGTTCATAGAAAATGTGGGTCGGGACCTAAGGGAAGCATTGAGGTTTGAAGAGTGCGAGCTGCCGGGGAGAAGCAGGAGGGTTTCAGTGGGCGGGAATGAGCTATCAGGAGCTGCTGAAGGAAAGAGGGGCTTGCGTAGCCCTGGCAGAGGGCCCATTACATCCCCAGGAAGGGGAACTGCAGGTCCTGGGCGCTGGTCACCAGGCTTCAGACCAGAGACACCTGGGCCACTCTCAGAGCTGACCCCAGAACGGGGACCACCGTGAGGAGACGGGACTCCTGCTTGCCTTATCCCTTACCACACAGGACACACACGCACACACACGCACGCACATGCACACACACGCACACACACGCGCGCGCGCGCGCACACACACGCACATGCACACACAGACTGCCTGTGCAGAGC